GCGCGTTAGGTGAGTTTCGTGGTTGGGTACGTTCTTGGCCAGCAGGGAGTTTTTTCGGTGGGGTACGAGGATGGCGACTATTATGGGGGCAGGCTTTCGGGGCGGGGGGTCCTTCCGTGTCCAGAATTCAGGAAGGGTGGCGAGAAGATGGGTGGCGGGGTGACGGATGCAGGCTAGTCTAGCCCGTGACCCTTGGCCTTTCGTTTGGCCGTCCACAAGGACCCCTACTACACCATCATATAGACGGGAGGGCGATGGAGTTGTCGTTCAACAGTCCTGGGCACTAGTCCTTCGTCGCCGTCCACCGTGCACAAGTGGGTGTTTATAAGGATGCGGGCGTCCTTGCGAAATGCACGCGCGGATCACGCTACACACACCAGCCTTCTCGCTGTCTCAACTTCACCTGCTCCTGCCTCCTCTCCCCACTTGCTCTTCTCTGCGGCACGAAGGTAGTCACACGCTGCACTCCGCCTTCTTGGACAATCCTGGCCTTGCGTCGGCTTCGCTGTCTTATGCGTGCGCTACGAAGCCTACTCGATGTCGCCTTCTGCGAGCATTCCGACGTCATCGTCGTCATCCTCACCGCCTTCGTTGCCTTCGTCGCCATCGTCGCTTTCGTCGCCATCATCGCCATCGTCACCGGGATCGCGATCGTCGCCTTCTTCAACGCACGGAGGCTTCCACCGTCGTCGTCGGCGCATTCAGCGTGGGACCTGTGAACGTCATCGTCGTGTTCTTCTGTCGTGGAGTGCGCAGCTCATGATCGTCATCGTCACCGCCATCGTCACCATCATCGCCATAGTCGCTGCCTCTCCCGTCGTCACCGCCGTTGTCTTCGCCGCCGTTCCGGGCTGTCGTCGACAACGTCTATCGGGCTGTCGTCGTCGCTCATCAACAATGTCGCCATCTCAGTGGAGACGATCTTTCAAAGCGCAAGGCACGTTTCGCCAACGCAACGGAGATCTCGACTTCGTGGGTGATCAAGCTTCAAGTGGGTGTGTCGTGCGCCATGTTGTGGTTCTGGACGCGGCAAGTCCGCTGCCAACTTGCTAGCGGATGCGGCGGTCCGGGAGAAAAAGGGCCTCCACGTGGCCAACAAGAAGAGGAAGGTCATCCAAGGCAGCCCCTCACTTGCAAGTTACGTCGACGATGAAGACTGGGTGCCGGAGGGGGAGGCGACGCAGGATGAAACCGACTTCGACAAAGACGATGATGCGTCGTTGAAGAGGAAGTCGTTCAGGGAACGGGTGGAGGCCTTCGGATGGACGAGGGTGGCGATAGACAAGGCGGAGAAGGGCGCGCACTCATGGAAGACGTCATCGCCGTCGACGTCGTGGCGGCATCCAGGGATAGCGGGGGAAGTGTTGTCGCACATGAAAATCGCACGCCCGTACCACATGTGAATGACGCCCCCGACGCGCAAGAGGGTGCGCTTCATGCACGAACACCAACAACCCCACGCTCGAGGACGGCTGCAGACGTGGGGGTCATCACGTAAGCCATCAGTCACGGGAACAAGAAGCGCTCTCCTGCGTAGGAGGCGCGCGGGGCCGCAGGGGGAGGGCCTTCACACGGGGGGGAAGGCACGAGGGTGGGCAGGGCAGCAACAGAGGGGGCATCACATGCGGGGGAAGGGGCGAGGGCAGGCGGGGCAGCAGCGGGGGGGGCATCACACGTGGGGGAAGGGGCGAAGGCATGCGATGTCACCGGAGCGGGGGAGGACGACGAGGCACTGGTCAACAGGTTGCGGCAGCGGAATACCCAGGATGGAATGGAGGCGGCATCGAAGCTGTGGGTGGAAGACCTCCGCTTCTGGAACGATACGGAAGGAATCGCCATAGTGAAGTTGACACAGGAAGCGAGCCTGTATCTTGTGGCGGTGGCGGGGGGAGTGCAGCCTCCTGTCATTCGTCGAAGCATCGTCTTGCCTCATACGACCATCCCGCAGCACAAAATCGCGGACGAATCGGAGTTGGATGCTGCGAAGGAGAGGGCAGTGAAGGTGCAGGGGATCACTTTGCGGGTGATCCACGGGTGGGTCTTCAAGTCGGCGAGCAGGCAACGGGGCTACCATGCGGCGTACCAGTACACATTGAACCACGTGGCCACTAACATCGCTCGCGCCATGTGGATGGGGGAGGACTGGCATATATGTATGAGCCCCATGGTGATCCACATTACGTTGGACATGGATATGAAGTTGCCACTGTGGTTCGTCGGTGCCGACATCGAAGACAGGCACGAGAATGACGACTTGGCGGCGTATCAGGAGGCGAGCATCCAGCGACTGGTGGGGGCTTTCACGAGCGCCGTGAGAATGGCGGCAGGGATCGACGGCAGGCGGGTATTGTACGAAAGGTTGAAGAGTGTTGTCGACGCGATGAGGATCATGCTCGAGGCGACCATGTGGCTCATGCGGATGAGCGGGGACGACCATCGCGCGCATTACGACGCGTGGGTTTTCGTCAACTGACGACAAAGCCAACGCTCATCGCATTCATCCATCGCTCATTTGATGCGTGTCGCCATATCATGCAAGCTGCAACCGTCATCACGGACAAGTTGGCGAAACCCCACATGACTTTGGTAGCCCCTCCATTGTACATCCCCGACTGGGTGTCAATTGGCATGAAGTTCTCACATGACGCCACATTGTCTTCCCCAATGGAGGCGAAGAAGCTGGATTGGTTGGGCACAGGCCCCGCAGAAGAGGAAGATGACGACAAAGCCGATGAGGAAGGCAGCCGGGGGGGTTGATGACGCGGTCGTGGCGCCCGTCTACGGCGTCGCCATCGCAGGGTGGGATAGGGATCATAGGGGTGTCGTCGTTTGTCCCGGAGAGACGGTGACGTGGGATGGGGGACGAAGGGGTGGGGCGTTGTGCATGTGCGTGTTTGTCGTGCTTGTTGTTTTCTCTCACGCGGTGCTGCTCTGCCATTACTTGGTTGAAGACGGCTCACCCATCGTCATGCCGGAGTGTACATATGTCATGGGGTTTTGTGCGGCATGGGGGGGCTTACCAATTCCGTTCGCCTATTGCGGCCATGTGTCTTTCGTGTCGCTGTACTGTCTGTAGGTAGCACTCTGATTTTGTAGCCGGCGTTGTGTGCTCGCCGACACATAGGATGGTCGTGGCAGTGGCAGGAAGGGAGGTTCTCGCCAATGAGTCTTTGGTGGTGAAGACACTGAAGAGGGGAGAGATGGAAAAGGCGGGAGATGGAAGAAAGGCGGGGG